GCCACCGGCTGCACCTAGCGATCCTGTCATCTATCGATATTCTTGCCAGCGCACGCCCCGGTCGCTCTCCCGTCTGCTGGGCCTTGGTGGGCCGCGATGTTGGGACGGTGGCAATTTTACTAGCAGCGACGAACATCTGTTTCGCCGGTGCAACACCATAAGTCTACGGGTCATGATCGAGATCGATGTCAAAAGGGGATGTGAAATCATGTGTCGCATTCGGATACCTTGCATTTCTCACGCTTGTGCCTGAGCTAAGTGGAACAGCTTAGCTTAGCCGCTGCTATACTGGGCGTGCGCCAGTTTTGACGTTTGGGCCGGAGGAGAATTTACTTTTGTCGAACGTTCGGTGACCTCCTCGGCTTCGCGTAGCGGGATTGTCCAGCCAGCCTCGTGCGCTGTAGCGAGTGGGAGTCAGGTCGAAAGTGGAGACGCCTGAAGTCCTAGTCCTCCATGGAACCGGGCACTTGGTGTCTTGGACCGACCGAAGTGGCCGGTATGCTACGCCGCAATTCCTCTGACGTCCAGGTCTACACACGCGCCACTCCGAGATGTTGTGAACAAGCGGCATACATCTTGGGAAGGGGTATAGGACCCTGCAAATTGCTTTTACGACAAGTCCCCGTCCCGCGAACGGTTGAATCCCACGTCGCCAACCAAGGCAACGATCAAAGCGTGCCGTCATGCACGTCGCCCTTGATAAGCACCCTTGCAGGTTATCTATTGTTAAGATTAGGACGTTGTTCCGCGTCTATCGACCCTGCAACACCGCCTATCGAACAACACATAAAGCAGCTCGCCACTGTCCAGCCACACGTCACAGATTTTCTGCCTCAACTCTTTAACTTTGCATGACGCCATACCCAGTTGGGTCGTATCGAGTCAGCAGAATTACTAGTTGACAGAGTTTCGATTGCAGCGGTGGAGCTACTGAATGTGCGACGCACCATCGAGGATTCGCGCGTTTAACCGGTCCGCCGATAAGTCGACCGACAACAATGGGGGTCAGCACGCCGAGGTGCAGGATTTAGCCATCAACGTGCAGATACGGAGGGCAGGATACAATATCGATAGCATGCACACTGGCAAGCCATCTATGGGATAATCCACCGATGCATCGAGTGCTCTAGACGGGACTACAGGTGCGCGACTTTAGGTTCACCCTTTGCCTGGGTACAGGCGTGGAAAATCCAAGTGAAGATCGCGTGGGTTTTGAAAGGCGATCGGCCGGGCGCTAATCTGGGAAGGAACCATAGAATGATGTGCCGTGGCGTCCGACTCCCAAATCATCCTCTCAAACGTCAAGCCTCTGCCCAATTCATATACGGCCGGTCAAATCCTTCTGTATCGCTAGCGGCATGTGGCGCTGCCCCCTGGCACTTTGACTGCAAGGCTGTCACACTAGCTCTGCGCTTATCTCATGGCTTTTGACGTACCTGCGTCTAAAAGAACGCTAGCAGCTTCGACACTACTGTGCGCTATCTTCAAGACGTAGCTGGCGACTGGTTTGAAACTGCCATGGGCACTATCCGCCCCTTGCACTTGCAGCAGCCATTGCGTCGAGAACGGTAGATACGTCTAGAGCCTGTTGATTGTTCTAAATCTAGGCTGTCGAATCCGAGCATCTCGCGCTTCCCGACGACGGTTCAGTCTACTATCGATTTATCGGTGCCGCACAAGTCAGCGCGGCGTTCGCCTGGCTTGTGGTATTGATACTTCAGCTCCCAACAACGTCCCCTGCATCATTTTTGTGTACTCTTCTAATCTCCTTAGACGAGGTCGCGTACGGCAATAAACTACCTTGCCCATCGCTGAACACTCTGCCATTTTTGTATCCTGCATTTGATACTTCCACTTATCTCAGATTATCACAATGCCTTCTTTCTTCAAGCGTAACAAGAAGGAGAGCCCTGAGGAGGAAACACAGCCTCAGGCTCACTCCCAAGATGTCCCAGACCTTCCTACCGGCATGTCGCAAAGGATGCGTCCCGAGTCCTCATCACAGGGAACCTACATACCCAGGAACCCCTCCAACCTTTCATTCGGAGGTCCTGTTTACGGAAGTCAGTTCGGAAACGCTTCTGAGATACGCAAACAACCACGACCTTTTAAGAGCTATCGACTACGGGGAGAGTAAGTACAGTCCGTTTCACACGTCAATAGCATCGAGCTGACGAGACATTTAGACGCGAGCAACCATGGGTCGACGATCCAAGGATGAAGAAGACTAAGGTCGGCAACTGGATCACCTTTGGGTTCATCTTCATCGGTTTCGCCGTCAGTGGATACATCATGTACACCGGTGTACAGGAGGCGCAAATACCTGACGTACGATCAATCCGCAGCAGTCTGTGCATTGGCTAACATCTTGACAGCAATGTCTTATCATGGAAGACAACTTCGAGAAGATTGACCCCGCCAACTGGGGTTACGAGATCCAGACTGGCGGATACGGAAACGGAGAGTTCGACTGGACCACCGACGACCCAAAGAACAGCTTCGTCGATTCGGAGGGTCTCCACATCGTGCCAACTCTCACCACCGAATCCACTAGCATCACTGCCGAGCAGATCCTCAACGGCTACACCCTAAACATCACCAAGGCAGACGGTGATGGCTCATGCACATCCACCGATTACAAGTCGTGCGGTGTCCGATCCAACTCGACCACCGGAACCATCATTCCCCCTGTTCGCTCAGCACGCATGACTACCAAGGGCAAGAAGTCGATCAAGTACGGCCGCGTTGAAGTTGTTGCAAAGACAGCCAAGGGTGACTGGCTCTGGCCCGCTATCTGGATGATGCCCGAAGACAACGTATATGGTGACTGGCCTCGTAGTGGAGAAATCGACATTGCCGAATTCCGTGGTAACAGTTACAAGTACCCCGAAGGTCGCGACTTCGTCTCTTCCACGCTCCACTGGGGTCCCGACTACCAACACGACGGTTACATCAACACGCACGGTACCTCGTTCTTCCGCCGCACAGACTTCGCCTCGAGCTGGCACACATTTGGTCTTGAATGGACTGAGAACTACCTGTTCCTCTACCTTGACAGCCGTCTCAAGCAAGTCATGTACTTCAAGTTTAACGAGAAGAACAAGCTATGGAAGAAGGGTGGCTTCAACGGTCTGACTACCAGCAACGGTACCCTTTTCGAAGACCCATGGAAGCAGGGCGGCAAGAACGCGCCATTTGACGAGAAGTTCTACCTTATCCTCAACGTTGCCGTTGGTGCGCAAAATGGTTGGTTCTTCGATGGAGAGGGTAACAAGCCGTGGGTCGATGGCAGCGACTTTGCCGTGCGTGATTTCTGGAATGGTACGTTGATTCACAGCCTACAATTTGCTCATGGACTTCCTGCTGACTTTTGCAATAGCCAAGGATGACTGGCTCCCAACTTGGGGCGAGGGTAACGAGCGCGGTATGACAGTCAAGTCTGTCAAGATGTGGCAGGCCGGCAAGTGCTAGACTCACCCACGTCTGACTGCCGAGCGCATTTTCCTTTTTTTACTTCCGGGGACCCACTCCTACGTGTACGACCTACCTTTTCTTTTCCAAACCGATTCGGGGACCAAGGGCATATTAGATGAACGTTTTCTCATTTCTTTTCCTCACTGGCATGGTTGAGGCGCCGAGGCGTCCCTGGGCATCTAACGTCTACATCGTACATTCCACAGATAAGGACTTGCAATAGTGTAGTATCTAATAGATTTTTTTTCCATGAATCATTTGCATAGCATCACAGTATCTTGACTGCAGCTTGCTTGCAGCCGGGATTGACCAGCCTTGCGCACTGTGCACTTCAGCTTTGTAGCGAGGCAAACTGGCAGCCGTGCGACCATCACTTGCATATCGCATCCTGCCGTCTGGACCCTCCAGCTAGCAAGCAGCCGAACAAGGCACCCACGTTGTCCAGCGCCGCCCATTCTCGCCCACGTACGTACCCACATCATCGTACCCCTGAGAAAATCATGCTCGATAGCAATGCCAAAGCTTAATAAACTTTCTGTTGAGCCACTGCACTAATCCCTCGTTTGCCTAGCTCACGACTCAATCCACTAATTCGAATGCGGTAGTTGAAACGCTATCCCTAGCGAATCACGAGGCTTAGATACGAGCGCGACGGAGCTTGCTCGAGTTGCTGCAGCTGCTGCAGGGGGGCATGCACATGCCGGAGACGCTTCCGCTTATCTGGTTACGGGAGACCGCGACCTGCGCCGCACTCAGGCATCGTCCCATTTCCACTTTTCTTGGTTCAAGCTGGCACACTTGAATAAGTTGGCATTTTGGGGGGTCTGAAACAAACACGGAGATAGGCTCAGGGTTAGGGTACCGTTGTTCACTGAATTGATGATGCAAGAGGGGTCATCTTGATTACAAGAGGGGCAGGAGTTGGACAGCACATCGTCTCTCAACTACCGTGCCGCAATGTCTAACATTCCCAACTACAGCACAAGTCTTCCTACTTTCAGGTTTTCTTCTCACCCACGAACCGCGGCAGAAACACGGGCTTCATGACCTAAACGAGGGATTTACCGGTGGTAATCCATCTGGTCCATAGCCTTGCATACATGCATGCATGCATACATACATAGCGACGCGGACTGAAAAACAACGTGGGTCGGCACATTTCGCGGAGCAACAGCCGGGCGCTATGAGATTCCAGAATGTGTAGATTGAATTCGAGAACGCCACCACGGCTTGTTCCAATGTATTCCGTCTATGCATCATCATGGTCGCTAAGATGTCGTCGGTACGGCAACAACAGGGTATGTTATGTACGATCGGGCTGTTATCTGCTATCATGCATCGGTCCTACCGTCGTACCCTGTATGCCTACCCCACTACTGCACGTTACAGTGTCAATCGATACCTCAATTGCTCAACTATTCGATCAATCACTCCAAGTATAGCAACATACAAATTGCAGCCGCACCCAGAACCGGGTACTCAGCTACCCGGCGGACCGTCGCTGCTACTTGCTCCTCAACATTAGATCAGCGGTCCTGCTGTCGTATCATAACCTTGACCTGGAAGTCCCTCGGTTTTACAAACCAGTAATTAGTCGTTTGCCAGTCCGCAGCCTGCAGGTGGGGGGCGAGAGAAAAATCAAAGTCGCGCACCAGCATGGGTATCAGCTTGGACATTTCCAGCTGCGAAATGTGTCGTCCAATGCAGGTTCGGGAGCCTAGACCAAACTATTGCCAGGCTGTTAGTTGCTGTCCACCAAAGGGAAGTAGAATGAAAAAAGGGTATGGATGATGAGTGGCGTTACGAGTGTGGAAACGAAGGATAAGGCAGTGGCGGCATGTGCCGAACAAGGTGACATACCGGCATCCAACTTCGCTCCATGAGACTCAGCTTCTCTTTGTCTGCATCGAGCCAGCGCTCAGGCCTGAAAATGTTGGCATCGGGGCCGAAAACTGACGTGTCGCGATGGGCGACCCAGGAGTTGATTCCGACGATAGTCTATCCAAGCTGTTAGCACGGCATACGCGAATTTGACATACACGGCAACTTACGCCCTCGGGAAAGAATCGATCACATATTGTCGCTCCTCCAGCGGGTACTACGCGCTCGAGCGGTAAGCCTGTGGCGGGATGCATTCGCAGCGCTTCCTTCATGACGGCTTGCAGGTAGGGCATATCCTGACTTTCCTTGAAGGTAATATAATGGCCAATCCTGCCCTCGCGTTGCCGCTCGTCAACCTCTTGGCGCAATGCCTCGAAGGTCTGTGGATTCTTGAGCATGTAGTAGAGGATTGCAGAGAGGCTGATGGCGGTAGTGTCTGAACCGGCGGTCATATTTGATACGCAGCCCATGGGAAGATGGGACATGCTGAAAGACTTGGGGTTATCTGCGTTCTTCTTGAAGAATTTTGTGAGGAAGTCCATGCTCGTCGTGCCCTGTTCAGCTCGGAGTTCATCGACGGGTATGGCCTTGGTCTGCTCCTGCTGATGCTCCGCAATACACTCTTGTGTGAATTTCATCACATACGCCCTTCCTGTTCCTTTGGGCCCAGCAAGAAAGTTCCTAACAGGAGCTAGGTATTTGTGTAGCCAGGAGTAAATGCCTGTAAGAGTGGCGTACCACAAGAGATCCTCGAGTGCCGCGAGAATACCACGGATATCCTCGCCTTTGTCCAAGAACCCGAGCCGTTTCGAAAACGTTATCATGCCAATGACATCGAAAGCATAACACTGAAGCCAATGTCCCATGTCGGCATACGCGCCCGCACTCGCTACCTCCTGGAGGCGCTGACTGAACAAATCCGCACATTCATCAACGTACGATTCGTAACTGACAAGCGAGGACATGGTATAAGCGCTCTGGTATTGGCGCCGGTTTTCGCTGTGTCGTGATATAGACTGGTCGGCAAACAGTGACCATTGGTCAGGATGTGGGTTCTGCCACGTTGCATACCACGAGGATTTGGGGAATTTGGCGCCATGGCCATAAATGATCTTTTGCGCGCTCGGCGAAGAGAAGGAGTAGCGGTTTGCACCGTAGCGAACTATCTCGCCTATGGTAGAAGTATAAGTATGAGTATCTAAGGAGCAGAAGTGCTAATGGAAGGGTGAAGCTCACCATGCTTCCTATGAAGCTCAAGGTTATCGTGTTCAAACGAACCTCTTTTCACTCGCCAGAGATACCATAAGTTCGTGAAACGCGCTACAACTGGACCCGGTACATCTCGCAATGGTGAGGAGACGGCTCTCAAGAACGGAAAGAGAATACGCGCAACAAGAGCCACAGCAGCTGCCCAAGCAAGGACCGTGAGATGCATTCTAGAAAACAATGTCGAGAGCAAACTATCGACAACGTCTTCCTCGCAATGGCGCGACGCATCTTGTGCGATTTGCTACACGTTTAAGTCCTTCCGAAAGTTCGATGTGCGGGGAAGCGATGACGCGCCGGAAGGCGGGTGCGGAATGTGGAGTGGAGCTTAGCATTGAATTGTAGGTAATTGGTTTCGTGCGAAGACCTCGTACGAACCATCAAACCTTGTGTTCATGCCTCTCCAAATATCTCATTTGTTTCGTAGTCGAAACAAGGCATACCGAGTCTCAATGCCGCGTGCGTAGGATCATCGTACAGAAAGTCGGGGTCGTACAGCCGAGGTGCAACACGCACTTTGCAGCCATCGTACATTGCGTGTGAATTGGATTGCCAATCAATCAGATGGATAACAAAATCACGTCCGAAGATGCATTCATAGATTCTACACCAGTTGAGAGTACGGGAAAGGACAGGATGCCGATTAGGTAGAGTAGGATCTCGATCATCGAAGATCTACGCGTCGTCTTACAATCTGGAACACCAAAATACACAACACTGCACTGACGGACTCCTCGCATCGCGTATCCACGTGGACCTACAGCTGCCTTCTGGTCGCAACTTACAAATGAAGACTGTCGTACTCAAGAAACATAAAATATTACACTATTTACACTACACACATCCCCACATTCCGACGACGGGATTTTGACCAGCCAGCCAAAACTTCGTAGAAACGATCTTTCGCGGCGGTACTCGGGTCAAACGAGACCGAACAGCTCGGTCCCTTCTTTGATTTGAACTGTTCTTCGGCAATGGAGGACGTCTGCAGTCTACTACAGGCTGTTCTAGAATGGTTTGTAGTGACCGTTGAGTTTCTCTTCTCAGTGATATTCCAACCAGGAAGAACAGCAGCTCGATACTGAGTAGATTCGTAATACAGCATCTCGCGCGGCGTACGATGGAAAGTCTTGCGGTGCACGTTGCTTGTTACTTTATGGTGCTTTGGATCTAGAAGACAAGTTGCCAAAGGTCAGTTAGTCGCTCGTTGTTCTCGCCTAGGCCACCATGAATGACGACACTGTCGTTGCCGGTCTCAGCCTTGACGACATCAGCATCGAACCAGCCGCGGGGGTCAGGGAAACCATCACTGCCTTCAGGGTGTAGCTGTGTCCACCATTTCTCGCTGATATCATATACCCAGACGTCCTTCAACATCTTGCCTGCGCCAGCGTGACCAAGCGACGAAGGATCATGTTCACCAAAGAGAGTGAGAAGCTTGTCCTTTCTAGCGAGCTTAACTGGTAGAAGCACGCAGACACTACGAGCCTCAGGCCCATCATTCCCATCGGCCTTGAACGTCTCGGTTGACCAGGTGTTGTTGGCTATATCAAATATATCGATACTACCACCCTGCTCGGTAGTGCCATCAAATCCGTTCATTCTGTAGAGTTTGCCCCCACTGTAAGCGATGGAAGTTCCTCCTCTATGGGGTGCTGGAGCATCAGGAGCTTGTGACCATGTACAATCATGGACGTTGAACATCCACAGATCTGAAAGGCGGCCACTCGCTGGACATCCGGCGTGGAGGAACAAAGTGTCCTTTCCATCACTAGTAGAACAGTGATAGCTGCGAGCTGGTGGATATGGGGCAGATGAATCAGCGGGCATGATCTTGGACCATGCTGAGCTTGCTAGGTCGAAGCACCACACTGCACCGTGCTCTTCTATAGGGGCCATGTCGATGCCACCTCGACCGGAGAAAAGACACATGTTGCCATTCAGTACAGCTGACGCACTTCCAACGCGGGGAGTGGGTGCTGAGGATATGGCTTTAGTTTCTAAGCTCTTTGCATCTGTGGCGTTGTTAGTGGTGCACCCTGATGGCCAACTAGCAACGAAAAGAAGGCCTACCAGGCTTGAGCGAAACGATATCGATTTTATCATCTATAGGCTCCCTTGGTTTCACCTCACCACCAAAGATGCAGACATGCTGATCGATAACGGAAAGGACTTGCGACGATCGGCGTAGTCGCTCGTCGTCGAGGAGGCGCTTCCAGGAGCCTTTGAGCGTACTGATGGGCATACTCACGGGCATGTTGGCAGATGGTGTGATATTCGCACTGGGATTGCAGTGACTCGCGAACAAGGGAATGCAATCTCCAGCTGCTCCTGCTGCTATTTATGCGAATCTAGAGCTAGATATTGCGTCATGCGCGGGTGGTAATACACTTGGTGTTTGCATTGCCTGGGCAGTGACAAGTCGAATCCACTAAGCAGGGGACACGCTAGACTGGGAGGGCACTAGCGTCGGATGCACGAGTGGATCGTCATGGCCTGGCTCCTTCCAAAAGTTCGCGACGCCTCAATCGCATTGTACACGCGAACCAATGCGACTCGACACGCCAACATGAGGCTTCGACTGACGGTGCAGAGAAACGGCCTCCCTGCCGCCAACGTCGTGTGGAGTGTGCCCGAGACCAACAGCACACAGGCATACACCGTCACGCGTCTGCTCGAAGACGTGAACCTCATCATCCCGCTCGAGGCAGAGCACTGGGGTCTGGAGCACTATGTCGTCGAGGTGGGCGGCTTCGAGTGTCTGCACTTTATGCCCGTGGCCCACGCGCTTAAGGAAGACGACCATGTCTCGTATGTGCTTCTTCATTCTGCATCTTGGTCGATACTAACACGTTGCCAGCATCCGCCCACTCATGACTGCCGAAGTACGCGCGCGCACCCTCACCGGCCGTGACCAAATCTCAGATGGAGGCCAGCACCTTGTCGACGGCGTTCCCTTTGGCCGGCCCTACCTGCGACAGCCTAATCGACCCGCCGTTCGCATACCGCCGCGCAAACGACGCCGACTGGACGACGTTCAGGCTGAGGACGATGCTCAGGCTGTCGGCCTGCTCACAGAACACGGAGACACAACCCAAGTGCGCGAACAACTCGCCATGCTCAACAACCACCAGCGGCCGGGAAGCCAAACATCGCCGTCGCAACGGGCAGCCAAATCAGTGCAGTTCAAGCAGCCAGAGATAGAAGCATTTGATGACAGCGAGGAAGACGATGATGACTTTGCTCCTGACGAGGCACAAGGCGAGACTTCATCTTCTGATGCGTCGGATTCCGACTCAGAATCAGAATCAGACGTAGACGTAGACGCAGTCGCAAAGTCGCATGGGTCATCTAGCGGTTCAGACACCTCAGATTCAGATTCAGATTCAGATACTTCGAGCGACAGCGATTCCGACTCCGACGATAGCGACGCAAGCTCCCCACCCGATGTCTTGTCATCCAAGGACGGTCGCAAGACCAGTCCAGATACACAGCATGTACCCCCTGGACAAGGTCTAAAAGCTACCAAGCTGAGGAACGCGCGACGTACAAAGGCTAACCGTCTGCGCAGCCTCAAAGCCTCGGGTAAGCTTCCTGAGAATGCAACACTCGCGGATCTGGCCGACTATGAACAAGGAAGATATGGTCAAACTGAAGAAGCGGAACATACACGGCCCTTCGCCAAGTCTCAAGGCAAGAGAAAACGGTTAGATGAAGACGAGCCGACAGAGGAGGTTGCCGACGATACAACAGAGCTTGAGCGAAGGAAACAAGATCTGATGGCCAAGGTTGGACAAAGTTCAGATGCGACAACACCGGCAGACGAGCCTATACAGTCAACGACTCCGGCTATAGAAGAGACAGAAGAATCACTTACCGCTCTGGCTGAAGAGACACAGCCAGCAAAGAAAGAGGCTCTCTCAAGAAGGTTGCGACCAGATACTCGTGCCATTGGTCGGATACTTGCTCGGCAGGCTGCACCTGTTCTCAGGAAGACCAAGGCGAAGGCAGTACCTGAAGAACCTTCGGAGCCCGAGGGTGCCTCTGATCCCGACTTTTGGAAGACACGGGTCAACCTCTCTGCATTCGAATGTTGGGAGGAAGATTTTGAGCTGAGCGCTCCGCCCTTCCCATTCCAACAGCACTGGGACCCAGCCAGCAAGCTTATGCGCGACAAAGCTGCAAAGAAGAAGCAGAAGAGGCGAAACTACGTGCTGCAGGAAGCAACGCCTGAAGAAGAGGAAGAGGAGGAAGAAAAGATCATACTAGACTATGACGATGCGCCAGCAACTAACCCCGACTCCGAGACCATACATGCAGCACTGGAAGACCAGTTACGTCAAGATCTTGCGATGGCTGCGCAGTCTGATCTACCACCGCTGCCTCAAGACATGAGCACGTTACCAGATCTCACCTCGTCCGACATGAAAGCCGGCGCCATTATCGCATGCAAATTCTTCACCGTCAATCCTGTCACCGTCACACCAGAGATTAGTGATTACAAAACAGCTATTGTTGAGCAAGAAGGCGATTCGGGACCTGGTGCTGGAACGATACAGCTAAAAATTGCTTTGCGCGACCTCCCGAAAAGGGAGAAGAAGTTCGATAGCAAAGGTAACCGCATCTACAACGCTGCCGACGCGCTTTTGATGGAAGAAGACGAAGAGGAAGAGGGCTTGTGGGAAGGCCAATTCGGCGA